GGCGTCTCTTTCTGTGCCTGCTTCTACACCACATTGGCTACCTCGATCTTCCTCGAGAGAGGAAGACGACTGCTGCTGCTGCTTCCGGATCTTGCGCGAATTCTCTGCAACCGAGAGAGAAGAAGCTTGTGCCTCCCGTGATAATAAGTTCGCACTTTGGCACCACTTCAAAAACAGACATGCTTTGATGGTCTCACGAAATTGATGTTTGCAAAAGATATCGGGCCTCCTTGGGCGCCCTGGGTACCAAGCGCTATCCGGTAGGTCACGGTGGGGTTGACCATACCGACTTAGCACTACTGGGTCACCGACGAGGGGGGCCAAGTGGTCAAGAGTCAGCGACCCCATTTACTAAGCAACCCGAGGGATGCAAGCGCCCTTTCAGGCTCTCCCGGATTAACCCTTCTTGCAACTCCATTTCTTTTATACTGGTGTTTCGCTACTGCGCCTTGGCTAATGGGATAGGTTTTCAGCTTACATGTCACAACACCCGCATCTCCGGGATGACTAGGATTGTTGGTTGTCAGCCTGGCATTATCTACTAGCACCATTGGATGACTCCATTTTCCAGCCGACATTTCCACAACCTTTCGATGGATTTTCGACCCAGAAGATTCATCCACAAGCCCACATATGGCATGGAATGCTCCAGCTGACCAGCCGTCAACCAAGCAGTAGTAATGCTTGATCCCGGAGAGATCCTAAAGTCTGCGATCATGGACAAAAAATCTCGGCAACACAGCTCGAGCTGGCTCGCTGCAGCTGCTAGAATTGTCGTAAAGATGGTCTCGTCTGCCTTGAAAGCCAGCAAGATCATCTCTCGAAAGAGATCCAGTGCCTCGCTCACGCGTTCGTTCGACATAGACCGCGATGATCCTGCTTCTTTTCAAATCGCTCAAAGGCTGTTCTCGGGGATTGGATGTCACAGCGTTTATCTCTGGCATTTCGATGAAGATTTTCACTGCTTCCTTGAATAATCTGCAGCTGACCAGCGAGGAAAAGAGAGTGTTGTAAGACAACAGGCATGTGCTCAAAGAAATCTTTGCAGTGGTGGGGGTGCGTAGCAAGCGAGCATGGTGTTCCAGGAGACCATGTCCAAAAGCATCAAACACTGCTCGAGCTTTGTCGATCTTGGAGTGATCGGCGTATAAAACAATCATGTTGGTCCAGGCTGACAAGCAACTGGGATCGTCGAGTGTGGTTTCTTGCATGATCTGAAACGAACTCTCCCCATCTTGTACATGCCCAAACCGTGCAGATGCCTGAAGCATCACGCTCCAGGTGATTGAGCTTCGCTCTGGCATAATTGCAAACAGTTGCTTCGCATCCGCGTAAGTTTTCAACATAGTTGCCCAGGAAATCATGCTTCTTCCTATTGCAAGCAGGCATTGCATCAAAGGGATATTTCGCCACGGAGAAATCCCCAGCCTAGGCAAATGCCGAGATTATAGTGTTCTAGGCAGCTAGCGTTCTTGCACCAACGCTCTGGAACACACGTATTGCCACTGAGAACATAGCGAGGAATCACAGCCGTCCACGTGTACTCGTCGTGAGCGGACATGATTTGAAAGAGCTCCATGGCGTTACTGTAATGCCCGGTCTGGGCATATGCGCACATTCTGGAGTTCCACGACACCACGTTCCTGACGTGCATATTCTCGAACATACATTGCGCGAGATCCACAAGGCCGTTCTCGGCATACGCATTCATCATAGCCATCCACGCGACCACGTCCTTGGACGGCATCCTGTCAGACCCAGCAAGCGTCGTCCAGATGCCCTATCTGGGCATATGCCTAGAGAAGGATATTCCGGAGAAGGGATGCCAGCGAAGATGGAGAGGGTGTGCTCGAGGCTGCCACAGCGCGCATACATCGGTAGCGATCGTCGCGACATTGCGCGCAGCGTGCTGCGATCGAGGGTTTTGACATTGGCAATCCTGCGAAGGGAATCTTCTACTTGCTGCTCGTTTGTGCGAAAAGGAAGAGAGTCGTCCCCCTCACATTTGAATTTAGTCTCTGTGCCATGGGAAAAGAAGCGCGGTCGTGTCGCTGGAGCAGCAGCTGGAATTCGCAAGGAAGGGGCATGTTTGCGTCCAGGGATTGTTCTCCAGCGCCGAGATCAAGGTTCTCAGGCAGCGCGAGGAGGAAGAAATGCTCTTACAAACACCGCGTCTTGCCCGGGCATGGATTTGCGTAGCGTCCAAAGCGTCAAGCAAGCCAGAGCGTTGATCCAATTCAAGGTATATAATTTCTATAATTCTGTGGATAGAAGTTTTCGATCATCTTTTCTCTCTTGTTGTTCCAGGGGAATGACGAACTTGGTTTCATGCAAATGTTCCATCCCAACCGAAGAGCTTCTTCTCTGGACGAATTCGTGCTCCACCCCTCGAGTCTGCCAGGCCGCAGCGGAGCTCCTGGGATCAAACAGTGTCGATCGACAAGCTTTTCGTTTCCCTTCTTCTAAGGACAAACGTAAGAACTTTCGCTTGTACCAGGATTGTCTCTTCATCAAGCTCCCAGGATTCAGTGTTACGAAGTGTCACTCTGATCTCAACATGGTCCCGCTCGACACCTCCATTCCCCTGAATGGAGGGGAATCGAATGGATTCCCCTCCATTCACTGCAAAAGGCTTCAAATTTTCGCTCTTGTCACAGCCTAGATTCCAGCTTCTCTCGGACGACGACTTCCTATGCTGCGGAAACCACCAGCTAGAAACAAATTGCGAACATTCATAGCGGAAGAAAAACTATGGAAATTGCCTTTCCTTGCCTTTAGTAAATATGGCCAGAGACAAACGCTCAACCTGTGCGGCACGGGGACTCTCCATTTGCAATGAAAAACCGTGAAGAATATAAATTTGTAATACTGAGAAGAGGTGCCAGTCAGTTGCTTTGACAGAAGTGTGGAACCATAGCTTGAGAGCCGAAAACAAAAAATCAATAAACAAAAGTTTATGTTTTGATCTTGATATCTGTAAAAATCCCAGTTGGTCGGGATGTCTAGTCGTGGGAAAAATTCAGTCCCATGATACAGCTACTTATACATAACAAAATACGTGCTTGTATTTGAGGAGGAGGAGGTACGGATGGAAAATGTTAGCACTCAAAAGGAAGAGCACTTAGGGTGTAGAAGACTGAATGGATTAGATTCAGCCTCAAATAAGCGGTTTATATGCTTTATTATTATTATTACCTAGGTATGTATATCCAAATATATATTTACAGACTTTATATATTTAATTAATAAAATAAAAATATTATTTAGTTGTTTTTATTATTTTCTAGTTCCTAATTATGACTCCAAAATATTGATTACTTAATACTTATCCTGAATAAATGTTTTTAAACTTTCAAAAGCAGATTTTCTTCCAAATGTTTCTGCCTACCACAAGCTTGGGCTTAGACATCTAAGGCAGCTCAGGCGCAAGTCAAACATAGACTTGCAATGAACAGTTGTAGCAGCAGTTGCAAGCATGCTTGGTATATGGCAACCTTCTTTGAAACTAAAAACAAGTGACAAAAGTGAAGAAAAAAATAACCTGACGTATACGTTATTCTTATAGACCAAAGGGTCCAACACTAGAAAATTTTGTAATAGCATCCTACAGCTGCTTAGAAGTTTCTGAAGTTTCTTTTCAGATTATCCCGTCCATTTAAGTACTTCTCAAAACCTGAAAAGGTAGTAACATTGTAGATCAGAACTTCATAACAAATCTCAACACATCAACCACGGCATAGATCCATTCAAGCTCTGTTAAAACCATAACATGGATGGGTAATATGCTCCAGATTCAACAAACCACGATAAGGAAGAAAAATAAATCATCAAAAGAAAGTGTGTTATGAGGGAACAGATGCTGATTGGAGTTCATTCAACTCCAGTGAAACGTCGAAGTGTAACATCCCTTTTAGTCAAAAGTTTCAATTCGTTTTTCATACACCTTATTCACATTTTATTCAGATGTAGATTACCAGTTCTCTTTGATACAGTCGAACGTGCACACAGCCAGTGGAGAAGACAAGATGATCAAATAGCAAAGAATGGAACAGTATCATTAGAGAAAACTCCCAAGGAATTCATACCATTTGAAATATTCCGATAGATCGCCTTGTTTTTGTTCTCTCCTGGGAAGGAGGAATGCAACTCTACCATCAGACTCACGTGTTCAAATCTTTGGCTTGATGTACTGTATAGATACCAAGGAAATCATACGATTCTACTACAAGATTCAGAAATCCCCGGCTTGTATTAACCAGTATTTGATTCTCTTCTGTAAGTTGAAAGCTATCACTTTCACAGCCCAAATTCAACGAGCTTATATTCCAAAACCATGCTATAAAACAAAAAAATGCGTCACTCTTCGTGATGGTATATGAGGTAATCCGCGTGATGAGAGAAAAAAAATTCTGGAAGTTTAGCTCGTTAGATTCGAGAACAACAAAATGATTTTGCTGAGTAGGAAAGCATGTTTCTGTTACCATTTTCCGTGGCGGCCGGGATTGGACGGCGGGTCAAGGGAGCCGATCAAATCTTCCTTGTTTGCTTGCGTGGTGATCTTGGTAGAGGTAGCAGTCTCCTGAGATTTGGTCCCCGGATGATTCACTCGGGTCCCTCCCTTCGCTTTAGAACTTTTCACAGGGGATCAAAGATTTATGCCCCCCACCTCGTGTCGACGACTTTCGGCCTTGCGTTTGTCATCTACTGAGTAGCAGCATCTCGCAAGCGATTGCTTAGTCTTCGTTAGTCGGTCTGTTCACCTGACGAATGCGAATTAGTAACTGCACAAGACGTACCTTGACACCGACAGTTCACTGTGCCGCTACGAGGTCAACACCTTGGAACTTCATACCTCTCGGAGCTCTCCTGGTATAAATACTTGACACTTCCTTCCACTCGAGATCAGTATCTTAAAGCTCCTTGGTTGTCTCCGCCCCTCTTCTCGGAAAAGTTGGCAGCTCCTGTCCTGAAGCAAGCTCGTCCCTTGTTTGGTCACAATAGCGTCGTCTCTGTATACCAGACTTATGGAGGGCGGTAGCGCTGCTACACAGCAGGAGAGGACCTCCAGCGTCGACTGGAGAAACCAACAGCAGAACAAGTGCTTCCCCATCGAGTGCTTGCCCGAAGATGGAGCCTTCAATGCACCTCTCACTGGACTTCCTCCTGTTCCCTCCCTCATTAAGAAGGTGATTTCTTGTTGGCATCCTTGCCCTGGCTCAGTTCTTTCTTTTCCAGCTGCTGTCCGAGTTCCTGGGAACTTTTATCCTGATCTTCGCAGCGGCCGGAACTGCGATCATGAACGAGAAATCCCACGGAGCTCTTGGAGTCCACGGCCTGGCTGGAGGAGCGGGTATCACGGTCATGGTCGTCATCTTTGCAACCGGGCACATCTCCGGAGCTCACATCAATCCTGCTGTAACTGTCGCATTTGCTACCTATCGCCATTTTCCATGGTTCCAGGTTTGACTTGTTGTATAGTTGATGGAGCTTTGATTAAGTTTTCCCGTGCCCCGCAGGTCCCGCTTTATATAATCACTCAAGTGGTGGCCACCATCTGTGCTGCCTTCGTTCTCAAAGGCGTCTATCACCCGGATCTCAGTGGCGGCTGCACGGTTCCAGTCGGTCCGATATGGCAGAACTTTCTGTTTGAGACTATCCTGACTGCCATGATGATGTTCGTGGTCACAGCAGTTGCTACCGATTCCAGAGCTGTACGTTTTAACGTTGGTTTTGCTTTTCTTCTCGTCTCTTACGTTGATCTTGATCACAGGTTGGAGAGTTGGCTGGTATTGCTGTCGGAGCAACAGTTTATCTGAACAATCTCATTGCAGCGTGAGTCGTTTTCAGTAGCTCGCTAGCTTTTAGTTACCTGAAATTTTGGCCAGGCTGATTTCCGGAGCGTCCATGAACCCGGTTCGTAGCTTGGGTCCCGCCATCGCTGCGAACAACTTTCATGGCTTTTGGATTTATATTGTTGGTCCTTTCCTCGGCGCTCAGATTGGTGCTGCCGCCTACACTCTGATCCGTTTCAAGGACCTGGAACCACAGCAGCTCCAGCAGCGCCGAAGCTTCAAGAAGTGAGAGCAGAAGCAGGGAAGAATGTACAAAGCTATTTGTGTGCTGTTTGTGCTCAATAACTTCGGATGAAATAAGCGAGGAAAACAAGAAAGCAAACAAGAAAGCAATCACGAATCATGTGGATTGATGTGTGTGGTATGTACTACAGAAGACATTTTCAAGTGTGCATAATTCAAATCCTAAAGAAAAGAAAAAACCGAGTCAAAAGCGATATACAGTTGTTGACACGATTTAATATAAGTCTGCAAACAGCAATGTGGAGGCTTCCAACGGAATTGGTAAAGGACCAAAAAAGCATGGCATGGATAATCAAAGAGAAGGCACCAAGCATGACGCAGAGACAAACAAAACGTCTTTTTAAGGCTAGCCGGGGAAAAACAAAGCTAGCAACCCATGTCTTTTGTACTTGCCTGTAGCCCGATGGTGTAGGAAGAATTGTCCCGAGTGGTGTCCATAGGTGCATGACTTTGGATCAACACGATCAACAGTCCTGACATTCCCCCTGTTCGGCACACACTATAAACATCAGTTTAACATCCGCTTAACTTCTACCTTACCGCAGCTAACTTGCACAAAAGACCACACTGCTTCATGGCTCTATAGTTCCTTTTGGTTGTCCTAAGATGGAAGTGTTCCAAGACTCGTCATCCGAGTGACCTCCAAATGCGTTTCGAAATAGCAAGCTAGCGTGGACGGACGGCCGAATGGTACGGCTGTCGCATTGCAGGGAAGGCAAGATGCTTGCTCCTCGTCTCTCATTTCCGGAAAGAAGGCTTGCTTCCACTGTCTTCTCCGTAGGGACAGTAGGGGGCTACGTCTCCCACATTCGAATCTGTACAAAAGAGATATAGACGGACTAAGGAAGAAAAATAAGAATGAGTACCGTGTATCATGGTTGCGTTGTTAGAATCACCATATCAAACGATCCGATCTCGCAAAGAGATTTTGATCTCAGGCCCTGTACACGAATTAAAAAAGTTAAAATGCACAGACGAGAGCAGCTTTCTTACTACAGTTTAGCGTAGGGACCTCCAAAGATTATGAAAAGCACGCTCGTAGCTATATAAACCGTGCCATGTTGCCAAAGTAGTGTGTGCTTGAGTGCCTTAGCACTTAGTTTCTCGAAGCTATAGCCATTTCCTCCTTTCTTTGCTGGACCTTCCTGTAATCCATCAACATCCGCCAGTGAGCAGCATGGCCGAGCAGCAGCGAGAAGCCGAGCAAGCTGCTGCAAATCCTTTACCTTTCCATGCTGCTGCTGCTGCAATCGCCGAGAGAACTTCGAGCGTGGATAAACGTGTTCAGGGCCGGACGTCGAGTGTTGACCACAGGAATGCCGCTCACAAGTGCTTCCCGCTGGAGCTCGTCGAGGAAGGGCGCTTTGACGACGAGCCAACAGGATACTCCACCGGTTACTCGCTGCTCAAGAAGGTTGATTGCCAGCACAATTCCGTCCCTCTAACTTTGCTTGGTTTTCTCGAAACTGACATCCATCCAAAGTGCAGATCGCTTCTGAGTTCCTCGGCACCTTCATTCTCATCTTTGCAGCCGCAGGCACAGCCATCATGAACGAGAAATCTCACGGCGCGCTGGGAATCCAGGGACTCGCAGGCGGAGCCGGCATCACGGTCATGATTGTCATCTTTGCAACCGGCCACATCTCAGGAGCTCACATCAACCCGGCAGTCACTCTTGCTTTTGCCACTTTCCGCCACTTCCCGTGGATTCAGGTTCTTCCACCGACCATTCCTTCAAGCTTGCTCCGAGTCTGACTTAACTTGCGTCTTCAGGTGCCTTTGTATATCGCAGCTCAAGTGACAGCCTCCATCTCGGCATCCTTTCTTCTCAAGGGGATCTACCATCCCGATTTGGCCGGCGGTGTCACTGTTCCTGCTGGTACTCATTGGCAGTCATTCCTCTTCGAGATCATTCTCACTGCCATCATGATGTTCGTCGTCACCTCAGTGGCCACTGACACCCGTGCTGTACGTGTTTCTTTATCTTCGCTTGTCAAGCTTCATCTTCCGCTGGATTCTCTTCACAGGTCGGGGAGTTGGCCGGGATCGCTGTTGGCGCAACGGTTTTCCTCAACAATCTTATCGCCGGGTAAGCGAATCGTCGCGCTCGGATAATCTTGCACTGTGCTCAAACAGTTGCCTTGTACTGACAGCCTGATCTCTGGAGCTTCGATGAACCCGTGCCGCTCGTTAGGCCCCGCGATTGCTGCTAACAACTTCAAAGGCTTCTGGATCTACGTAATTGGTCCGCTTATCGGCACCCAGCTCGGGGCAGCAGCATACACTGCCATCAGATTCAAGGAGCTGGAACGTCCCAAAAGCTTCAGAAGATGAACAGGAATGCCACTACTGTACGTGAAGGTTAGTGAGGATGAATGTAAGTCCTGTACCTGTAAATCCATATGTAAAATGCTGGTCCCAGTTGACCTCAATAGTTTGGTTTCTGATCACAGCTTACAGCTAAGAGTGTGTCATTCTCAACATTAATAAAACAAGGAAACTGTGCTTGAAAATGACGAATGATTCATTTTTCACTATGTATGATACAGCTCATTTCATAAAACATACCGTATATCTGGAGGGCAACTAGCCGGCCTTCTTGCCAAACCAGCTCTTTGATCTCACTCTCTTACCCTCCAGTGCCTGCAAAACAGCTGATCAAGTTAAAGGCAAATGGAGACAATGAACATACCATTTGCTTGAAACGCCTTAAAGTAAGTACCGCACGATCGCGAAGCCTACAGGTCGGCGATGAAACTTTACATCAACAAGTCGCCCATCTAAGTAGTCTTACCGATTATCTTTGAAAGTCAGCATGTGCTCTTTCCCATCGCTGCTTATTATTGCGCACTGAATAAACTGTCCCAAAATGACCCGCACCTGCACGATATAACAGTCACAAAACCAGTCGACAATTTCGGAAACACCTGCTTACATTAACGTCTGAAGTGTAACTTTCCTTAACCAACCGTACGCCGTTTCGTATTATTTGATAGCTCAAACGTTTGGTTATCAAAGTTCCAGGTTCCCAGTCTTCAGTTCCGTCCTCCTGAAACATTAGGTACCACTCGGAGATCAAAGATGGACACGGACTTATGCAGGAAAACTGCTCATAGTGCATCTAGCTATGTTCATGGTGCATTCAGAAAAGAAATGTGAACAGACCATAACCGTCACATCGAACTGAGCCTGAGCAGCCGCAATATGAACATTGATTTGATCGTCCATGGTTGCATCTGCATACCAGCGGCATTCACAACCACAACAATTCCTTCACTGTAAAGCCTTACCGCATTTGATTATGTTTTGATTGTTTGCAAACTCAATCACTTCCTCTCCCTGCAAAGAGAACTTATTAAAACCACGATGATAATGCAAGGTTTACCTTCCGTCCTCGATCATCCATAGGACAACATTGTATTGCGATAAAGGTTTCACAATCATCAGCACTTAGAGTGTATTCGGTTTGAGACGCGCCTAGAAAAACAATGATAATAGCATGGAAGCTGAGGTGTATACAAAAAGAACGTACCATCAATGTCCTCGGCACCATCTTTGTAATACCGTATCCACTGCAAAAAAGCTTGGTAAATCCGTACTACAGGTTAATTCAAACCTGAAAATTGCAAAGAGCAGTTCCGTTGATGGAATGGCCACAAACAGTCAGTTTGCTTCCCAGCACTGCATCTCCCACAATTCGCAGGCCAGCAACAGCAGGCAAAGGATCTTCTTCTGCAGGTGAAACATCGTCAGCAATAGTATTTCGCGTTTAAGTTTGACAAAACACCTGCGTGGTTAGGCTCCTCAGGTAATGATGGCAAATGTGGAGAACGTTTATGATCGTAATTGGTCCTGATGTCTGGATCATCACCCTCAATAGAATGGAAATTTTCGTGTAAATCTGTATTGTGCTTAGGAACCATTCTGTTTTCCGGAACTTAGCAAAGTTATCAAATGCGAAATAAGCACACTTACTCTTGCATATGCATATACTCGGGAGTACCAACAGATCGCGTCGTGTTGACGTTCAAAGAGGAAGGCGATGTAGGCCTTTGAATTTGAGGATAAATACTTTGAGGCACAAGTTCTAGTCCCCGCCCATTCTGCAGCTACTGCAGGAGGTAATTCACAAAACTAAAAATCGAGCCTTACAGGCGAGGGAGGAGCAAATCGAGGGGGTGATTGTACATTGGACGGAGACGGTGGCGTATACAACCATGGCCTGTAGAAACCTGGCTCTTTGATTCTTCTCTGCAAAACTAGCCTAGTAAGGAGGTTTCAGGTTCAATGACTTCAACCAACCTCATCGTTTACTCTGGACTTCAAATGTTGCACCAATGCCTGTACATCACACATATACAGCTTTACCATCTATGTCCAAGAATTCCTTACTTTCACAGAGACGACAATTGATTGCGCATCTGTAGCTGGATGCAAATCAAACTCCTCCAGAAGTGGCAACAGCGACGTCACAAGAAAGTTTCTTTCTTGTCCTAGAGCCTGCTCAATATCAGTTCAATAAACATTAATAAAAGAAGAAAGAACGTTTTTTACTTGATTATCATAAGCAAGCTTCATATTTTTCTCAGCAAGCTCTTCACGAATCGTCAAGGCTTTTGACGTTGCATCGGCGACAGATTGCTGCTCCCGATAGTAGAACTGTAAAAAAAATAAAATAAAGTAGAGTATCACCGACGGAAAGCACTAACCACTTGTAGTTCTGCCATTTTTCTTTCCAAACTAGTGTTCTCAGCAAGAAGTTGTGTTTCCTGTGCACGAGAAGAGTTAGCCAGACAGCGGATAATAGCAAGAGGGAGTACCCTTATAGTGGCCTCATAGAGTTTGCTCCGAAGCTGACGGACTTCCTCCTCGTGCGTCCTCGTCGAAGCCAGTGTCATGTCCTGCCAATTAAATGGGATATAATACACGAATAAATTCGACAGCTACCGGTCTGAATGGAGGCACAGCATCCGACTTAACGTCCGCCCCATTTTCTGCGTTCGTGTTCCCATTTGCAGGAACGCGTTCTTGCGAGATTGTTTCCTCCTCTGGCTTTCGCGAGGCAGCATTTTTCTTCTGCAAATGGAAGATGATTTACCTGGTTTGGAGGACAAGGTAAAGGAGGGTAACTTACCAGAGTTGCAATTTCATGCTGGGCGCTCTGTAGAGCAGTACGCAGGTGATTCGCCTCGGCAACCTTAACAATTCAGTCAGATGTGTGAAAGAGAGAAAAAATGTTAAAATTCTACCTTCTCCGTAAGTGCAATTTCGGCCTTTGCGAGAAGGTCATAGACTTCTACGGGATCCCTGAATCCATTCTCAAGCTCTGTCCCACCATTAGCATGCGCCTGATTCCCATGGAAGCGTCCAGCACTGTCGGTGTATCTAATAGCGGCTTGCATTCTTCCGATAAAATCCCTGCGAGAATTCTACGCCCCTACATGCCGCGCCAAAGCTCAAGCCCTAGGAGACAGAGCTTCAGATCCACCTGATTTCGATCCAAATCGCGAGAGCGCGGCCGATCGTGAGCTGCTGCTGCTGGGAGAAATCGCCTCCGGCACGAAATCGCGATCGCTGGCCACCCCGCATTGCTCCAAGGCGCTCTGGCCAGACCTCCAAAAATGCAATACGAAATAAAAACCCTATCATAAGAACACAGTGACGACCTTGACGTCCGCGCCGCCCTTCAACACGGCATTTTCCACGTCGTTCAGTCCACGTCATTAGTTAACATTAAAAGCGATGGCTTTCGTTTAATCCAACGGCAGTAAGATATGCGCTCGAATATTCCACCACAAATATAGAATAATGTCGAATATCCACCACGAAGCTTTACACAAGGAGGAGCGAGAAAGCGGGCGAAGGAAAAAATATACCTAGCTTGTTCTGGGCGGGAAATGGCGATGGCGGGGTATAAAATGGGGCGCCATGGATGGAGATCTCACAGCGAGAGCGATGGATCAAGGAGTGCAATCGCGCTTGCAGGTAGAGATTATCAGCAATTCGGCCGGGTCGAGCAGCGTCGGCGTGGATCTCCAGGTCAGGAACTCGCAGCGATTCCCCGTTCACGTCATGGACATCGAGGTGCTGATCGAGGAGCCCGGCCGCGAGGAGCGTGAGCGCAAGGCCGCGAGCGCCAAGCTCGATCACTCGTGCATCGTCCAGCCGCGCTCCTCCAAGCTCGTCAAGATCCCGCTCGCGAGCTTAATCCGGCCCAGCGCCACGCCGGTGCCGTACATGCTCCGGGCCAATGTGGCCATGAAGGACCGGGTGCACGGCGCGTACCAGGTGAGTACGGAACGCGTACGGCAGATGTTCTTCAAGGACGCCGCTGACAAGAAGGTCAAGGCCGTGGAGAGAAAGCACTTGGATGGAGGCATCGAAGGGATTCACGTATGGACCAACTTTCCAAAGGAGGTGGTGGTGGCTTTCGACTTCCAAGTGAAAAACTCCAACTTTCTGCCGCTCAAGCTCCTCCACGCCGATTTCTCCGTCACGAGTGATGGCACGAAGATCCTGGAGACCAAAGTCGTCCACAACACGAGCATCCCAGGGAAGTCGTCGGCTAGAATCAAGATGAAGCTTTCGATCCCGCTCAAGATCATACGTGACAGCTTCCCCGGTGGGCTCCCTTCGTCCGTTCTTCCAGTCCAGATGGACATCTCCTTCTGGTTCAAGGAGACTTTCTACGGCCTCTACAAGATCGATGCTCGCAAGACGGGCGTGCTGGTCGTGCCCGAGGCGCCGGCGATCGCGATCCACAAGGTGGTGTTCACTTTCGACGAGGATAACAAGCCGGTTGCGAGATTGGAGCTGCTGGTTTCCAACGCGAATGTCTTTGATCTGGAGCTCAAGAGCCTGGAGTACCAAGCCGTGTCGAAGGAGACAGGATCGACGCTCATGCTCGCGAAGTTTAGAGACGATGACGCCGTCATTGTCCCCGAAGGAGGAAAGGTTACCATCTGGGCTCTTGCGAAGCCTGGGACGCACGAATTTGGATCGGTGCTGTGGAAGCTCTACAAAGGCGAGCAGGACTACGTCGTAAAAACTTCGCTGGAGACCGAAACCGAGTTGTATGGCAAGATTGTTTTCCAGAGCTAGCTCCTGGTCTCGGAAGAAGGACGAAGAAAATCAGAACTCAAATGTGTATAACTTCTACCTTGGTCGATTGATTGTAAATATTTCCGGTGACTAGAGCTCGTCATTGTCATCGTGCTCGTAATTCAGCACCCCCAACTCTTGTGTTGTTGCTGCTGAAATTTTCTCCTCGCTCGATGCCATGAGCTCTGGTATCCATTCATCTCCATCGATGAAAAGCGGGCTCAAGTAAGGATAAGCTTGCCAATCCGAAAGAGAGTGAGACCAGTTCGCTCGTTTTCTCCTGTTGGATCCCAAGCCAGAGCACTCGTATTCGCCATAAACAACCGTCCTGCAAAGAGCTCAAGCCAGTGAGCAAGGAAAAAATTCGAAACAAAGCAACGAAAGAAGTCCAGAAGAAGAAAAAACGAATAGAGAAAGGTTGCGTGAACTTACAAAGTTCTGCCCGAGTCTCCCCAGTCGTCCCATCCAACCGGATGGACGATGCTGTCCATGGAAGTGTACGCAAAGATTACTCTGGAGAACGGACCCCACGCTCGTCCCAAGAGAACGTTTCCAGTCCCCGTGATACTACAGTTGACGAACGAAAAAGCCGAGGCTTCCGACCACTTTAGTCGTCGCTGAGCAGTGATCGACCCCGAGACTTTCTTCGATGGCTTTGCAACTGAGTGGAGTTCACAGTTCTGAGAAACACGCAGAAAACTCTGAAGGAGCTCAAGCTTTTTTGAAAAAGAAGTACCTCGTAGAGAGATCGTCCACTCCCACAGATGAAATCGATGGATCCCTCGATGAAGCATTCCTTGAAGTAGTGTCGGCCTTGGTCGTCGAATAGAGTGTCTTGGAAGCCATAAAAGCCGCAGCCATAGAACGCTGCTCGGTCGGATGAAACTCTCAGAGCAACGGCTTGAGCTCCTTGAACTCCAACTCCTGGTCCTGGAGAAGTGTTCTACGCTGGAATACGTTAGTAGATGGAACATCTCGCTGCCTTACCAGAAAACTCAAGTTCTTGGCAACAAAATCTGCTGCTTCCACGCTCACACTTGCACTGCTGTATGTTCTGCCGCTAGAATTTGCGGTGTCGTTCCAGGCTATGGCTGTGAGGTCCATTCCTTGTCCCTGCAAAGTAATATACGGCTTGCTATGTGGGATCAACACCTTTTCCCTGGATCCAAACAAAGAGAACGATGACAGAAACCTTGCAGCGAGATTCAGAAACTTTCTTACGTGAATGTTCCATTGTTAATATAGATATGAACTGGAACTTGGTTGTAGTCGGGAACAGCGTCGATCGCATCCTGGACTGTGCGGAAATCTCCAAATCCTTTTTGATCTACAATAAAAACAACCGGTGAAGCCTCACGATCGTCACAACTGCTAGTGATATCTAAAGTGAAAGGAAGAGTCAGAGAAGCTGGCTCTGGAGAAAACAGGCATTGGAAGGCACACATAGCCATGGCGGCGCCATAGATTCTAGGAGCTGTGTGAGAGCGCAAAAGCACGAAGACATGCAAAAGCAGCCACGCAACAGCAGAAAGAACAACACCAACAACGAGTTGTTTGGTTTTTCTCGAAGCTCGAGTCATAGCGAGATGGATTAGAGCCGCAGGAATTTAACTCGAGAAGAATGTCACCAGGCTTGCTGCTTAATACGAAGAGAACTCTTCTGGAACAACTGAAGAACCATCTCTACGAAAGTAAGGACGCAAACAATCAATGAAGGAAGAAATGCCTTACAAGCAATGCAAAGAATTTTAGCAGGAAGAATGGAGGCCAAGTCTGGAAAACAAAACAAATCCATTGCTCAAAGGTTTCTAGCGAAGAATCGAAGAATGGAATCGAACGGCACAATTAGAATGCAAAATTCCGCTAGAGTTTCTTACAATCATAAGAATTTCTTGCAAGCAACCATGGAATGGGAATGGCGAGGTTTCGTTTATGCAAAGCAAAGCCCTGTAGCTACTACCACTAAAGAAAGAATGCTGGCATCGCGATCTCATACCTGGAAGGAGCGACCATCATGGATGGAACGCGCGTCGACACGCCACGGCGAGACGCGTCAAATTCCCCATTCTAATAGCAAATAGGGCTCTACAACTAGGGTTTTACATTGGAGGAAATATTTTGCGGTACTCCGGTGATCGATCGATCGATCGCGTGCCGTGCCAGGTTTGTAGCGATGTCGCATTCCGGAGGAGGATACTCGAGCGCGCCATCGGCGCCACCGGCGCCTTCATCGCCCTATCAATCATGGCAGCCGGGGCAATCCACAGCCTACTCGTCATCGCCATACGCGCAGCCTCCGTCGGCCTCGCCAGCTCCTCCTTATGCATCTCCATACTCGTCTGGATCTGGAGCTGCTCCATCCTATGGGGGCGCCGCGCCGACGCCTCCCTATGGAGGACCTCCATCGGCTCCTTGGGCTCAGCCTCCATCGGGCTACCCATACGGCTATCCACAGCAGCCTCCACAGTCGGGCTACGGCCAATTCGGGGCGCAATTCCCTCCTGGGACCGATCCGGAGATCGTTCGCGCTTTCCAGGGTGCCGATCGCGATGGCAGTGGGACGATCGATGATATGGAGCTCCAGACGGCGCTCTCGGCTGGGCAGCCTTTCAGCTTGCGGACGGTCCATCTCATGCTCCACCAGTTTGCCAACAATGCGAAGAGAATCGGTAAAGTCTTTTTCTTGTGCTTTTCTTTTTTACTTTTGGGACTGAGTGGAAGCTTCGATCGTTTTCCAGGACCAACGGAGTTTGCGACGCTCTGGAAGGCTCTAAGAGACTGGAGAGTAAGCACTAACCTTAATTCTATAGTATGATTGATATGAAACTTTGCCTGTGATTTCCAGGGAACTTTCGAGCGGTTTGATAGAGATCGCAGCGGGAGAATAGAGACCGGAGAACTTAGAGACGCGCTGTTGAGCCTCGGATATGCAGTCCCACCATCGGTACTGCAAATTCTAGTCTCAAAGCACGATAAGACTGGGCAAGCCCGCGGCCTAGATTATGACAACTTTGTCGAGTAAGCTGTTTTCCTTTTGTTTCGTGCTCGTGTGCGTTAACTAACGCTCTGCTCATTGTTTCCTCTCTTATACAGGTGTGGCTTGGTTGTAAAGGTGAGTTCATCAATTCATCGTTTTATTTTCTTTCTTTTGTTGTTTTGGTGACACTGACAAGTTCCTACCGTGCAATGCAGGGACTCACGGAGAAGTTCAAGGAGAAGGATGTGAAGCTCACGGGCTCGGCCACGCTAAGCTACGAGGCGTTCATGCTTATGGTTTTGCCTTTCATCGTTGCCTAGAGATATTAGTCTCTTGTTAGATTACTCATCGTGTTTGTATGTTCGTTTGCAAAGTATTGGAACCAGGCAGTAGTGAAAGCGAAAGAAGACGTACGTGTTCTATCGCTCGAAAAGACTTGCCACTGTATAATCAGGTACTCACAAACGACTAATTCAAGTGGCTCATCCAATTTGTCAACTAAGTGCATTTGTGTTTTTATGGAAACTTTGCCATAGCTTTGGTGTTTACAGTCAGTGGACTGACTAAAATTTGAGGTTTCTGCAGGACAAACTCTGCAACACTCCGATTTTTCAAGTGTTTCAAAGACACGAACTTCGGCCTTGACAACCTACAAAATTTCCAACACGGTAAGACACGCCTAGACTATGACAAGGTTCCTGCTTAAGTCTTAAGATCGATTTGTCAATTAATTGGCAAGTTCCGTGTTCTTCCTTCTTTCTTCTTTTGCATCTACAGGTGTAAGGCCAGTTCTTCAGTTTATCGTTTTGTCCAGCAGCAACTTGGCGATGATGCTATCAGGTTTTGCGACGATGCTAAAAGCCATGAAACTTTCATTTGTTTGTAATATATTCTCGTCGTGTGTGTCTTTTTGGAAATCAGAGTTGGCTCGACTTTTCTCGAAACCAATATGTACATATCTTGCAGCTTCATTCTCGAGGTAATCCTTCAATGCTTATTCGATCAGCCTCTCACTGACCTTGTATGCTGTAACATATATATAGGATATAAAAAAGAGTCCAGGGAGATTCCAACTCTTTCTTCATCGTCATCGTCTGTTGAAGCGTGCGGGTGATCGCCTGGGCGAGGCCTGGTATCTTTGCTGGTTTGGAGCTCCGCCACCACTGGCAGGACTTGGAAAGCCATTTCTATGGTGATGAGTATGTCCCTTTGGCGAGTTGTTATTCCCATGGTGGCTGAAGTTCCCGTTTACAATCAGTGGTCTCGGCCTGGAGCTCGGGTATGGATTTGTGTTGTAGTTTAGAGGTTGGAGCTGACCCGTGATGTCGCTTGTGACTTGCAGAGGCTCCAGGTGACGAACAATCTCCTTCATATCCGGCCTCGACTTTGCGTCCCGACTGAGGCAAGCCGCGGCGAGCTGAGCGGCCTTTTGGAAGGCTTTCATGGGGCACTGGCCGTCGAGCTTTGGATCCACCAGTCTGAAGATCCTGCGCTTGTCGTGGAGATAAGGCCTGGCCCATTCCACCAAGTTGTGCTCGCCAGTGGGTCTAGACTTGTCCATGGATCGTCTGCCAGTTAGCATCTCCAGGAAGACAACTCCAAAGCTGTAAACATCGCTCCTGGCTGTCAAGTGACCTGGAGGAAACAAAGGTACGATCCTTTTAAGTTCAAGAACTCTCAATTTTTTTTCTTTCTTTGTGAACTTACCAGTCATCACGTACTCGGGAGCTGCGTAGCCGTAAGTTCCCATGATTCGTGTGGAAACATGCGTCTTGTCTCCTTCCGGGCCATCTTTCGCGAGGCCGAAATCCGAGAGCTTGGCCGTGTAGTCCTGAGAGGATTTAACGAGTCACGGGTTTGTTAGTCTCCAAGATTGTTTCTTCATTACTTTATCTTCTACTCACATGGTCTAGCAGGATGTTGGAAGTTTTAAAGTCGCGATAGATCACAGCTTCCCGATGCAAAAAGGCGAGGCCTTGCGCGGCTCCCAATGCGACCTTCATTCGAATCGCCCAAGTTAGAGGCAATGATCCTTCTGCCAAAACAAGAACAATAAAATTTGAAGACAACGCGTGAGCGGATGGTCGTAAGAGAAAAAACTATCACTATGACGAGCAACTTACTGCGAAATAGATGGTTTTCCAGGCTACCGCGAGGCATGAACTCGTAGACAAGAAGTCGATGCTCGTCCTCCGCGCAGTAACCAATCAACTTTACGAGATTGAAATGGTGAAGCTGGCCGAGAAAATTCACCTCCGCCTGTAAGTTTCATCCATTCTGTCAACAAAACCGGTGTTTTCTTCGCAGACTAGAACTTACCAGCCATTCTCGGTGGCCTTGGAATCCTTCCGGATTCAGCTGCTTCACTGCTACAGTTAAACCCGAGCCGGGCCGAACAGCGGCCGTGCCATTCTCGTCGATCCACCCCTTGAAAACATGGCCGAAGCCGCCCTCCCCGATCCAACTATCCGGCCGGAAGTTCCGAGTAGCGGACTTGAGATCACCGAAGCTAAACACGCGGAGGCCGGAGCTCTGGCGGAGGATCTCATCTCCGGACCTGGGAGTGGAGGGCAGCACGTCGGAGGAGGAGAAGGATTTCTTGCGCTGGGTCTGTGGGGTTTGCTCCGCAGGCGAATCCGGGTGATCTACAGTGACCGAGAAGTTAGAACAAGCAAGCCGAGACAAACGAGATCGAAGAACTTGCTGCTGTGATCTGTACGAACCTGTGCTTGGGGTCACGCTGCCGTTATCTCGATGCTTGCCGACGCATCGTCCCAGAGCCGACCCAAAAGCGGACCAGCAAGAACACATCCTCCGTGCTGGTGAGCTATCGGTTCTAACTCTGTATCCTTTGCTTTCAAGTTCTTAGATCTTCGTGGAGCTCTCGAGAATCTAGCGTTCCTTTCCTCCTTCCCGGCAAGGTACCAAAGCTATCTATCACTCGCTCGCCTCTACCTTCGTCTCATTTTGTTCCAGATTCCCGGGGATGTGAGCGCTGGAAAACACGATAACACGGTGCTCGTGTTTGGCGACTACTGACCTGGTAAACACGAGCTCCTTTCTCCCCCCAACGCTCACTCACTGCTTCTTCCTCGAATCGATCACTTCGCGACCCATTAGTTACTGCGAAATCTGCGAGAACTTGCTCCACCTAACTAAGAGGGAGCATGAGAGAAGAACAGCGGCGAGGGTAAAGAGAGAGAGAAGACCGAGACAACAGCGAAACAAAACAAGCAAGGAAGCAAGCAAGAAGAAGATTATTTCTTTATGAGAGAGACATAGAGTGAGAGAAGAAAACCAAGGCGGAAGAAGAAGAAGAAGAATGAAGAAAATTTCACCCGAGGCACTGTGCTGAATGCGACAGCGAGACAGGCAGTGAGAAGGCAGAGAAAGGCACTGGTGTTGCTCAGTATAAGCATATGATAAGAATGAAAGGTACAATGTTTTTCAAGTTTTATTTCTGGTGATTTTTCTATGCTCCAAATTTTTGCCTGTTGGTTTACTCCACCTTGTGTTATCTATCATTTTGGAGCTATCTCATCTCCATCTCCATGGTCTTGTTCTTCCTGAAAGTTTTGGAGTCTTGGTAGTGGTTTGTTTGCTTCTTTCGTTTCTTGTATGGGAGAGGATGTTTCTTCTACTTGGACTGGAGAATCAGTCCAAGATGGGCAGCCAATGCCGCGTTCCAAGGATAATTAGTTTTGTATTATGGATTCTAGAATCATGTTTAGATGATAAGTTATTAGCAATGGAATCCAAGCGGAAGTCCATCTCAGAGCAACAGGGTGTTCTTCTCAACTGTTGTGATGCTAGATACGAGAAAAGCTTCCCAAACGACTAGAGCTATGTTTTTTTAGTTCTAGTGGAGAAGAGTTTGTGTCAAAACCAAAATGTGATCTTGCTTTTAGTGGAGTTTTTGACAGAATGTTGCAAGAACAACACGATGATGTGTTCTCTTTTTTACTTCAGAAAACACAAGAACCGGGCTCTGATTTGAGAGCAATCACAGGATCATTCTATGCGCTTTCTTATCACATCTTCCATCTTCGAATTCATGATCAGTGTGACACTGACTGCCATTTTTTGCATGTGTGACTTTCAAGTTGGAAGCTCCTTAACAATGTTGCCACGAGAACAAACCAAGCGGCATTTTGCTTGGCAATCTTCTTCATAGCTCGAGCTCCACTCCGCACTGAATCCGGCAGGCACCCAGCAGTGTTTTCCACACCACCACATACTCCGGAACTGGCATGCTTTGCAGCAGCTGCTCCGCCTCGGAAAGCCTCCCGACTCGTCCAAAATCATCGATTAGTCCGTAGAGATTGACGAACACGGATCCAAGCACCGCTTGGGAGTGATCCCACCTCCTGGTGGCCTCCTTGATCTATCCCAGGCTCGCGCACGCGTCCAGCGCGACGCGGTTGAGATTCAGGCGCCCTCGAGCCGCAGGTGGCGGAAGAGATCCATCCCCACATTCTAGATTCATAGTAGCTCACCACATTCTTAACCGACATTTCCTCAAAGAGAACATTTGCCTGGAAAATATGCCCGTTCTCGGCATATGCCTGGACCACGGTGCTGTAAGAAAACACATTCGTATCGTCCATTAAATCGAACATTGACTTGGCCATCTTAAAAAACCCCACCTCTACACACCCATAAAGTATCGTGTTACGATATATAAGATCTCACTCTACCGTCTCCTCCAAATCCCCATTGTGGGCATTAATGACACGAGCCTTCGATAAAAAATCTCTCTCATTCTCCAGAGTGTGCCTGGAAGATCGGGTTCCAGCAGCCTGTCCTCAAGGCTGCCACATCACATTGCCCATACATTTTCAAGGCAAGATTGGAGAGGTATCGATCGAGCTCATAGTTTCATGCCACGACGGAAGGAGACAATTGGGATTGCTTGGCTGGGGCAAAAAGACCCAAAATCACAGGTGGCTGATTAAAATCTTAGAGTTCTTGGATGGATTTTTTTCTTGCTACTAGTGATTTTAGTGTGTTCTTTGTCTATGATGGTTCCTACCTTTTGTCAGCTCCGCAAATACTGAGGAGGAGAAGCTATCCATTCTGTGAAAGCTAAGAATAATGGTTGATGATGATGCCTTCTTCATCTGCTTGATGGAAATTTTTTGTTTTGGTTCATTTTAAGATAGAGACATATGAACTCAGGATCTCTGGTGTGCACTCTTTATAGCACCTTCTCATACTTCAGCCAAAGGATCCTCAAAGTCACATGTATTGATATAAGTCTTGACATGGCAAGTTACAAGTCATATATGCATGGAGACCAAGGCTAGAACTCCAAAACATATGCAAAAAAAAATGAACAAATGCTCAATCAATCATGCTTTGCTTTTTACTTTGTCATTATTGTGAGTTTATTGGCAAGTTCTTAAGAACTAAAGTGAAACCATTAGCTTGGAAGAGTTAAAGACTGTTGCAAATGTGATTTTAGATATCAAAAAATATTTTTCAGTTAATCTTTAAAAACACTATCTTTTTACTATCACAATGGTAGGAAATCAGTATTGTTAATTCTTTTTCATTAGTCTCTTTTGTTTAAGTATAGTAAATTGGGTTTAACATTTGTATTTAGCCAAATAAAGATAAAATAAAAACTCTTATATGTTTTTTTCTGAATATATTTGATATGGTTTTTAATTCTCTTTTGCTTTGTTTTACACTAACTTGGCAAGCACTCTCATGTATTCTTAATATTGTTAAATGATAGATTACTGTGTCCATTAAACACATTATCATGCTTTATGTGTTGGTCTTATTTCAGTCCCATGTGTTATTTATAGTAAGTGCCTATATCTATTAATGAGGCATATTTTAGAATATAGAGAGTGTTCTAAACCCTATAATGTTATTTTCACATCCTAATTCATGATTTAACACCATTTGTGAGTGCATGGAATATGGAAAGGGAATACAGAAATGTGCATATCAATTAGCCCAAAAACCCTAGCTTATATACAGGAGCGAGTGGTCTGGATTGAAACCAATCCGATAGCTACCAAAATTCACTACGCTAATATTAGTATACGGCATTGTAGCCGTACACTTGGCCCTCACATCATCCCCTCCTCTCGGAATAATGGAAGGCCGTCAGGGTTCTTTTGTAGATGGGCCGGGATTTGGAGGAACGTCAGGAGGAAGCATCGGCGGATCTGTAGACGGTATTAACTGCTCCTGATCCCTTTGTATGAAGCGTTTTAACCGCTGCACATGCACAATCTCTGGAGGATCGGCCTGCTGAACGTCATGCCGAACCTCATAAACTTGTGGTCCAACTTGCCGTAACACCCAATACGGTCCTTTCCACTGCGCAAGGAGCCCCTTAGATAAACCATATACCGTAAGATGGGGAAAACGGACTAACACCAAATCATCCACTTTGTACTCCGCAGGTGGACGATGATGGGAATTGTAACGTTGTTGTTGTCCCACTTGTACGCGGCCTAAGTGTTCGGCAGACTCTGCTGGGACAAGTGGAAGAATGCTTGTCAAATACTGATCCCATGACCTAGCATCAGGAGCTCGTGGCAATCGCGAAGGTAAACCCAACTCTGTTGGTAATATTGGATCATGACCATATAGAAGTTTATATGGTGAAGCACCAACAGAACTCTACACCCTTGTGACATAGGCATACCGAAGAGACGGCAAATAACCATCCTAATCCGAATGCTGAAAGTTCACATACTTCACAATCATCCCTTTCAATGTCCGAACGAGCCGTTCCACCAGACCGTCTGATTGTGGATGATAAGCACTCGTAAAAGTGTGGCGTATCCCCAACCGAGATGTCAAAACATGAAATACCTCAGCCATAAATGCAGGACCATTATCCGAAAGAATCCGCTCTGGACAAGAATGCTGGAACACCATTCGATTGAGGAGGAAGTATCCAACAACAGTTGCAGAGGCGCTAGCAAGAGCACCAACTTCCACCCAACGAGTCAAATAGTCAGAAGCAATAATAACATACTCATTGCCAGCAGTCGATCGTGGAAAAGGACCCATAAGATCAAATGCCACCAACTCAAACGAACAGGAAATTGCAATTGACTCCAACCGTCCTTCCGCAGCACAGGGGGGGGTATTACGAGCTTGGCACCAAACGCAGCTACGCACATACCGGATAATATTATGTCGCATCTCTAGCCAATAGAAAGACCTGCGCAGCTTCTCGGTGACACGACGGTGTCCCATATGCCCACCTAGAACAGGAGAATCATGGTAAGTATGGAGAAACCGCGGAATAAACATCGAAGGCACCACCAACCGTAAATGATCATCAGGATCCGTCCCCACAAAATAAAGAACGCCATCTTCAAGGCGATATTGAGAATGTAAATGCCGGAAAGGCAAGTCATCAGCAAGTGATGCAGGATTCTCAAACCCATCTCGAAGCCTTCGAATCCACGGCTCAATCTTTTGAGCCTCGTGAACCTCATTAAGAGAAGGTAGATCTTGCTCTGCACCCTGTGGACACTGAACGTCAAGGACAGCAACTGCCAACGGCACAGAATCCTCATCTAGAAAATCCATAGACGCTGGAACAACAGGTTCGTCAGAAACATGAGAAGTGAGTGGAGAAGGAAGAGGAGCTCGAGAAAGGGCATCAGCATCAGCCATAGAACTCCCTGGGCGATGAACAACATCAAAATCATATATCTAAAGCTTTAAAGCCCATCGAGCCGTATAACCAACCAGGTTCTTCCACTTCAATAATGAAGTAACAGCAGCATGGTCACCTTCAAGTAACGTCCGAGAACCATGTAGATATGCATGAAGTTTCTCAAAACCCCAGACTGCTGCTAAACACTCCTTCTCCGTCGTGGAGTAGTTCATCTCCGCTGGTTGTAATGTACGGCTTATGTATGCAATAGGATGGTGCTGACTATGCACACTCGAGCTCTCTTGCATCAACACACCTCCAAGACCAATGTTAGAAGCATCCACGCGCAAAATAAAAGGTCGAGTGTAGTCAGGATATGCCAAAACCGGAGGAGTCGTCAATAGCTCTTTGAAATCCACGAACGCCTGCTCACAATCCGGAGACCAGATGAAAGATGACGTTGATGACTTCAGCAACGCTCGCAATGGTGTAGTGCGATCAGAAAGATGATCTACAAAACGACCGAGATACTGCACCTTACCCAAAAAGCGCTGCACATCGTTCACACACTTCGGAGTAGGGAACTTTAGAACAGCCACAAGTTTGTCAGGATCAACTTGCAAACCCTCACGAGAAATACGGTACCCAAGATAAGTTGTGTCCTTGGACCCAAACACGCACTTTGACCGCTTCAGCTTTAAACCAACATCGCGTAACTGATCCAACACCTTACAAACATCACGAACGTGCTCCTCTCACGTCCCCTCTGAGTGGATCAAGACATCATCAATGAAGTCAGCAGTCATCTCCGGTATAT